AAAGTCAGAGTGTCCACAAACAATCATAAAGTTTTATTAGTGAATTACACACTTGACATGGAAATTGGTATGTTAGTCCCTGACATACTATATAAGGACACAGCTGTAGGTTTTGGATCAAGGGATAGGATGAAAGAGAAGAGAGAAATTAAAGAGGGAAAGATGAATGAAAGAAAGAAAGGAAAAGAGAGAATTAAAGAAGAGGAGAAAAGAGAGGGAGGTCTTTGGTCTCAATCCTACCATGCCTACTTCCTGCCACTCATTCTTGCACTTGTGCTGTACTGTGTTGTGGTTTCTCTCACAGAAAAGTGCTGCCCTATATCCACCTGCCCCCCCCTTCTCCAGTCAACTCTTGTTCTTTCTCACAGCATGTTATATCAACAGTCCTTGGTTGGGTCTATGGACATTGGTTATTGGTGTTTGAGACATACACCACAGACAGTGTTTCTGATAAGCTTGAGAGGGGCTTAGTCCAGGCATGGTTCATTAAGGCCAAGGCCTAATGAGCATTTCTTGGATCACAGTGTGGCCTGAGGGGGTGGGCAGGGGAATGCACCACCACAGTCCATCACTATAGTGAACTCCTCTGGGCCTCTACAGAGACTGGAGCAAAATCAGGCTGGAATGGAGTGAGTGTGAGGAATAAACCAGACCTAACCTAGACTTTGAGACACGCATTCACTCTTCAGCAAGCGATTTATAGCCATAAGGGCCTTAAGGTTTAGACTGGTTGTTTTTTATTTTACTCATCTTTCTGATGCTCCAAAAGACCCAGCCACACCCCAGACTTTAACTACACACTTAAAGTGTCAATGCACTTAGAACGGGACATAAGGGAAAGAATCCTTTAAAATTGCATAGAGACCAGACTGTAATATAGTAAGAGGAAGAAGACTGCACCCTTCTGTCAGAAAGTTAATGTTCTGTGTAACCACAGAGTCCTACCACATGTCAGACTTTGTTCCTACCCAAGTCAGAAAGAAAGATAAAATGACGTGTGAAGAGATTACTGGAGGCAGTGAGTACTTTCTGGGGTCTGTTCTTTTTTAGAGCTAAACAAAAGGCAAAGAATACCTAGATGAAGATAAGTGTTCTCTTTCCCATACCAGATTTTCTATATTTTTCCTCTGTTTTCAGTTTTTTTGATATAAAAAATCCAATTATTGTTTCACATGATGATTTAGAACGATTTCCAGGGAGTTCTAGAAGGATAGAATAACCCAGTGTTCTCTCTCAGCCTCCATCTTCGCCTGGACAAGAGGACTTGCTCACAGAGCTAAGCTGGACAACAACACTAGCCTCAAGAACTTTGCAGCTGCCCTGGAAGAAGTCTGCATTGAGACCATCGAGTCTGGCTTCATGACAAAGGACCTTGCTGCCTGTATCAAAGGCCTACCTAAGTAAGTGTATGAAATAACCAGCTGTGCTTGAAGGAGGCTGTTTTACGTAGTGGTTCTGAACAGCACTTGCTCGAATGTTATTTTAGTATGGTGAAGAACAGGAGTCTGCCTCAGAACAGGACTCACTGTACTCAGTGCTGTACAAACAGAACACGAGACACTCCCTGACCAAAGTAGCTTAGTCCAGATTGCTTGGTCCCTGTTATTGTACCAAATGAATGGGCAAAAAAGGAAGGAACTGTTAAGAGTTGGTTTTTTTATGACAGTCTAGCTACATTGGTCAAATCCTACCTTCATCCTAATAAATGAAGAAAACCTACATAACTGCCAGATATCACCTGTATACCCTCTTCTCTGGAGCCTTTTGGCAGAAAAAAAAGAACACAGCCTGATGAGTAGGAGAGAATTCTTTTGGGTTTAGAGGCAAGACTTAGAGTTCTTTGAACAGTCTTCCCCTGCTTTGGTCGTTTGAGAGTGTACAACTAATGCCTGTTTTTTGTTTCCCCCCCTCCAGTGTCACACGCTCTGACTACCTAAACACCTTTGAGTTCATGGACAAGCTCGCTGAAAACCTGAAGCAGAAGCTGGCCTCTCTGCCCAAACTTTAAGGCAGGGGTTCTACTCAAGCTCCCCTAGCAAGGTGTCTCCCACTTACATGAGGGTGTAAGTGGCACCATATCATGCTTTGTTGTGCTTCTTTTAGGATGTTCTTCATCTTTGGCCTCTGGTATTTTCACACTCTTTGGCAGATACTCCTCATCAGAATCAACTCTTTGCCTAATTACTCTAGTTTTTCTGTTGGTTTGCTGTCTGATGCTCTTTCTGCTCACACTTGAGTCCTCCTGCAAAGCACAGGCACTTGAAGTCTCTTTCCTGAAGAAAAGCAAATTTTGTGGCCTGGAATCACCTGAGGGAACATCATGACTTGAGAAGGTATGAACTGGGCTTTTTAATAAACTCTCCATATTTTGGATCTCTTAACCTGTTGCATTAAGTCACTACTTTCAAGACTGGGCAGCTGTGCTGGATTTACCACAAATGTACTTTTAAGATCTTGGACTCCATCAGGACAGCGGGAATGGTGCTCCACACTAAAGTCTTTATCCTTGCTGTCAAAAGCCCACACACAAGCCTTTTGCCCCACCTCACAAACTTCAGACTCAGTAGAGCATGTTGCAACTTTTGGCTGAAGAAGCTTCTTTGCATTTTGAGCACACTCTTCACTTTGAGATATATCAGGACTACTTTTAGCACTGTTTTTAATTGCACTTGTTTTCTTTTTTCCTGTGCTTGCTTTTTTAACAGTCATTTTCTCACCAGTTCTAGGTTTTCTTAACAGGCTCCCTCAGGGGTATAAAAACATTTACCCACAATTGCTCACGATGTACTTGCTGAATTTTTACAGTCTCACTCCCCTCAGATGTGAAACTATGCAAATATGTAGATGATATTCTAATTGGAGGAGATTCCCATGAAAAGGTGGAGGAAGCAGCAGCAGTGTGGGAAGCATTACATGAAAGAGAAATTGAAATTCCACCTGAAAAATGTCAAGGACCAAATAAAGAAGTAAAATTTTTGGGTACTTGATGGAGCGCAGTCAGTGCAGCAGTTCCTCCAGACACTTTAAAGGAAATAGAACAAATACAGATGCCCCAAATCAAAGAAAGAATTACAACAGTTAGTGGGAACTTAAGCATATTGGAGCAAACACGTACCTGGATTTTCTATCATTGCTGGCATATGTGGCACTTTATCGTGCTTTGTTGTGTAACATTTCAAACACTAGACAAAAATGAACATAACACTTAAAATTTTTAAAGATCATGTTTTCTTAAACCCCTTGAGCTGCTGCGCTAGGCCCTACTTTTGCCAAGCAGATGAACGTGATACTGTTCAACTTCGACGTGGGTCTGGACTCCTAACAGCACACCTGAGGTTTCTCTCTGTGACTTTGATCTGTGTTTCTCTTATTTCTTTATCTCAGTCTGAAAGCCAGTCTGTGTCACATCTCTGGTCAAACCGGCAGTGACCTACTGTCCAACTGACCTCAAATCAGAACCGTCCTCCTCTCTCCACTACTGTCCATGAGTATAAGTGGGTTCACAGGGCTATGCCAGCTCTGTCGCAATCCCTCTCAATTTATCTTTCAGTGCCAACAGGAGCAGAGTATCCTGACACAAAGGGATTTGGTTCCATTGCTGTGGTCAGGACTGTAGCATTCAAGAAGCACTTAGTAAATGCTGGAAACGAGCCTTACAGGCTAAGATCCTATTAAAGTCATGCTGCAGTGTCTAAATGCAGGCCTTGCACTTAGTTATGCTCCTTCTGACTGGATGTGAAGCACAGGAACTGTTATCTCTTCTCCCCTCCCCCAATTCATAAAGGTGCAAAACTTCTAATTGTCTGGGCTATTACTTACCCTTTCTGTTGTGATACAGCATCAGATCATGACTGTGAAAAACTATTCCATCCACAGTTTTGTGTTCTGGGTTTTTTAAGGAATAGTTTTAGTTCAGACTAAAATAAAAACCAACTAACATTCTTTGTGTCTTTCCTTCCTTTGTGTGATTAGCAGATACTGGGAAATTCTGCCTCAGAGAGACAGTCCAGTAGCTTTCAGCACAATCCAGTACAGGCTGGGACAGACTGCTGGACCGTGGTATAAGCACAAAATAATATCTCCCTTCTTAGAATAGAGTTTTAATTTGTTCTGGCCCAGGTAAAGCTGTGACCTGTAGTGTGGTAGGCATCAGGTAGTGTACAGGAATTTAAAAGGTACCACTTTCATTGAAATTTTATTCTGGGACTAATAGAAACTGATATATCACCACTTGGCAAAACAGAAGCTGGTTAGACCTGAACTAACTCTGACCCTGCACAGCTCACTAGCTAAAGGTGGTGATTAGGATAGAAGTGCCAATGTTAGACTAAATGAGCAAAACACATTAGGCATGTGTGTACCAGGGTGAATTTATGCTGATACTTTTGGTCTGTGTTTGGCCCTGCCACCTGTGAAAGCTTTGCTCTTTCCCTGCCAAGTTATGGGAAAACAAGCACTGATAAACAGGAAAGTTGTCCTTGAAGAGAGCTTCTTGTATAAACTGTTTTAATTGGTATTCTGTCATTGGCTAGTTATCCTCCAAGGTCGCTTGAAGGAGAGATTGAGGAGGAGGAAGGCTCGGCCCCAGACTCAATTAAGAAAGACCCCCAAAACATACGGCGCGTGCGTGAGGGGATTTCCGAAGTTCTCACCTGTGTGCAGAGGAGGGGCACTGACATAACCGGGAGGTGGGACTGAGGGCATCGGGCTGGGCGGTGCTGGCCCCACCTAGGGGGGTTGTGGCCACTTAATTAATTGTATAAAAAGCAGATAGTGCTTTCTTAGAGGGAGTTAACTTTACACTAAGGACAACGTTGCCTTTGGCAGGGACGCCTGCCAGTTAGTGAGCTTACTGACTCCCCAAGGATGCAGCTTCTGCTATGGGTAATTACAGGCATGCTAGGTCAGTAAGATAACTTTATGGGCAACAGCTGGGTAACTGGGGCTTATTTCTCTCCTCCTTCCTCCCTTTTGGGTTTGTTCGTTTTCTTGGCCAACTTTTGGTAATAAATATTGGTTTTTGTTGAGCTAGCAATGGTGTCTAGTTTTTCACGTTCCAGTATATCTCAGACCTTTCCCTATTACAATGTGTTTGAAGCACAGCTCTATAACTGCTAGGAACTGTCACTATACCTTTAATAGGAATGAATGCAGTCTACAAGTCTGTTGTTAGTACAAGCACATAAGACAGAGCTGGAAAAAGCCCAATTTCTGATCCCCAGAGGCAATGAAAACAATTACTGGGAACAGCTGGAGATCCACATTCCTGCCTGGCTTCTGACATCAGTAGTTCAACACAGTCAGGCAGGTCCCTACTACAACAGGACCTCTAACAAATTCCCTGTTATTTATTGTTCCTACCTGGCTTCCACAGTTACAGAGTACCAGAGACAGCTTGGTACCTTTGAGGAAGCTGAACAAATAAGAGGGCATTTTTAAATCTTATGCTTTTTGTTTGCTAGTTTTAATGACTTTCTACTGTTACTTATGTATAAGCAATGTGGTAGCATTTACCCAACTGCAGATGACACTCTTTTCCCTCTGTACTAACAAAGTTTCCATCTTCTGGAGGACTCTGCAGAGTACAGCAAGACCCAGTCTATCCTCATGAACTGTTGGATGTTGCTGAAGTGCTAAAGAGAAGCAGTAAGTATGGTCAGAAGAACAGAGCATCCCTCTCCTTGCTCTGCCACAAAGAAAGAAGAGACAATTTTCCTGCTTCCTAGGGGGCACATTTCCTTCCCTTTAACAACCAATACGATCCTTTCCTTTCCCAACCACTCTCTCAAACATTTGTTATCAATAACCTTCAGAGTTAGATTGCAGTAGACCCTGAAAAAGCAAGTGCTGGAGGCCAGCAGGTGCTCAGTCTGCAATGGAAGAGTACAGGCTTTCCTGAAACTCAGTTGAGTACTCTGTCCAGCTCTGGAGTTCCCAACTTAAGGCGGCCACAGACCCGTTGGAGCAAGTCCAGAGGAGGGACACAAGAATGATCAGAGGGCTGGAGCACCTCTCCTATGAAGACAGGCTGAGAGAGCTGGGGTTGTTCAGACGAAGAGAAGAAAGAGGAGAAAGAGAAAAAAGAGGGGGGGGAGAGAGATGGGGGCCCAACCCACTCCCTTTTATAGTTAACCTGGTACACGTCTCATGTAAACTAGATTTTCTGTGCTTTTTTGTTCACACATGCAAAACCAGCCCTTCTCCAGGAAGTGAGCTGGGGGGAGGGATTGAGCACAAGTCTCAAGGCGGAGCAGGGAGTTGGCTCAGGACAGCACTGCCCCACCTCTGCAGGACCCTCTCTCCAATCACCTTTCCTGTAGCAATACCCAAAATGAGACAAAACATGCTTAGGTCTGGTCCTGTACCTCACCCAGTGCTCAAACATTCCTAAATGTTGGTTGCTGTCACAGTTTAAGCCCAGATGGAAATCATGCACCATGTAGCCGCTTGCTCAAACCCCTATTTCTTCCCCCAGTCACCCAGTGAAATGGGGAAGAGAACTGAGGTAAAACTTGTATGTTGAGATAAGAAAGTTTAATAATTGCAAATAAAAGTAAGAATACAATAATAATGGTAATTAATAATAATAACTAAAAATAATAAAAAGGAAACAAACAAGTGTTACATAATGCAATTGCTCACCACCCACTGACCAATGTCAAGCCCCCCTTCCTGAACCAAGATTGGCCATGCTTCTAGGTATATAGTTATAATAAATACAGCTTAGCAAAAAACCAAAACATCAGTGTGTTAACAGCATTACCATTCCGAATCCAAACACAAAACTGTAAGAGCTACTAAGAAATTAACTCTACCCTAGCTAAAGCCAGGGCAGTTGGGTACAGGGCTCATATTCCACTGTGGCAAGCTTTATATAGCGGACTAAGGGAGAGCACAGGAAGGAAGCAGAAGACAGTGAGCAGCTAACCATACAGAATGTAAGGGCTGTGTCCACCATTACAACAGACATCCACTCAACACTCTCCCCACCCCATGAGTCCCAAAGATTTCAAAAGAGAAGAAATCCGCAGTGCAAAGCTCAATTCATTGAATCAGTCCTTTGGCTGCACTGGTTGGAATAGTTCAGCTGTCTGGTCAGCAACCTCCATCTGTGCTCTGGCCTCTTCAATTGCGGCTGGACAGAGAAGCTTCTAGGAACTTGGAGGTTGCCTATTCAACTGTTATTTTCATCCTGACTTGTTCCTGTTGTTATAAACTTACCTACCTTGGCACTGGGACGTCCTTCAGGAAGCCATTCTTCTTCCTCTTTCATCTTCTGGGTCGTTCTCTTGGCTTTAACAGGATTCTTTTTTCTTTTGTAGCGAAGAGAGCAGAGGAACGCAGTGTCTGTAAATGGGTCACCCTGCCTCAGTTTTCTGCAGAACCAAAAGGGTTACATTGAGTCATCAAGGATTCCTTGAAAACTTGTATGATTTTAGTCCCCAAAGTTTCTGATTTTACTGCAGTGCTTCTCCTATAAGATGATTGAGTGGTACAGTTTGTTCCTTGTCCATTACAGGGTACCTTCTGACCCAATATAACCAGCTATTCAAACAAAGTTCAAACTGTGACACTTTTCAGGGAAAAAGCATAGTACTACCCTGTAGCATAACAACAAAGTCATTATTTTAGGAGTTAAATGATTCTGTCCAATAGCCATTGGATGTACTGAATCTACAGTTTCTTAGGGAAAAGATGCAGCTATTTGTTTAGGAACTCATATCTGCTAGAAAAAGTGAATATAGATACAGCCTGCTCTCAGGAGGAAAGTACTACTCAGGTGTGTAAAACTTTATCCATCGCAGAATGCAAATGAAACCAAGGCTTTTGCTGAGCCATCTCTATCTACTCTGTACTTTATCCTCATGCTCCTGCCTCATTAGCACTGGAGTACCACAGATGCCCATTCAACAAGGGAAATAACATCTTTGGTAGCTTGTTACCAGAAGCCTACACATCCATCCCGTGATGATGCAGAATTTTGGCATAACCACACTGTGGTAGAAGGACCACAGGACACAAAGAGTAAGAGGAACTTAAACAAAGCAACAGAGGATCCAGCCCTGGAGGGTGAACACATGAGAGCAGAGCAAGTGTTGCAGCATGGGAGCAGTCATTGGAAGGAATAGTTTAAAGCCCAACCTGTTGAGGTTTGGTTCTTTATAGCAGGCTGGTTTCCGTCTCCGCCTGGATGAGCGCCCTGATACTTCTTCTGAGATGGAGCAGGACAGAATCCCGGTATTGTTCAAGTCCTGCAGTGGTCTGATCTCTGCAAAGGGAGACATTCACATGAGTTGATCAAAGTGATTCCAAATAATTTCCAGATATCCTAAAAAATAACAGCTGCCAAATAGAAAGGACTGCATTACCACATTTCTCTGAACACTGCACAAACCTGAATCCAAATCACATTCCCTCTAAACTCAGGAGACCATTTTAATCCAAAAATACCAGACCTGCTCCTCAAAAGTCAGCTTATAAATCAAATTAGGTTCCTCAGTGAAAAAATACAGATTACTAATACTAATTGTAACAAATGTCGATAGAGCCTTCCTAAATCTTCGTTCGCGAAGCCTAGCCATGATGATGAATACTGCTAGTATCATGGGCCCTGGTGTAGTAGAAAAATGATACAAAAAATATATTTGATAGTTGTAATGCCCAGGAGCTTACAGCCTGGAGGAGAGAGCAAGCTTATGGCACACAAACAACCTACCAGCAACTTACCAACTTCTAGCAAGACGACCACGCCAATGTTCACTGCAGCTTTCAAAGTGAAGTCAGAAAAAAGGAGGGCAGGAGAACAAACTTACTCCCTCTCTACAAAGTACAGCCCACTCTAGTTGTAACAGGCCTGTTTGTCAACAGCTACAGAAAGAAAAACCCCATGAAATTACTCTCTTTACTGAGCATCCACTAATAGCAAACTCCTCAAAAGGATCAGCTTAACTACTGTATTACCAGCCAAGGGATACACCCTCCAAATTCTTAAAAAAAAAAAAAATTAAGTTAGCTCCTGATTAATTTCCAGTGAAGATCTCACCTAGAGGTATGAAATCTGAAACCTTGCAGCACTAACCACTCTGGACCAAAAATTTGCCATCTTCTTCATATTCTGTGCCCAATAATGCTGACTCCAGTAAGCAGGGTCAGCATCAAATTAGACTTTTCAACTGCTTGAGTAGTTGATTTTCTAAATTAATACACATGCTCTGCAGATAACAACAGTGGTAAAACAAGACTTGCAGCACATGCTGCTAGTCTTTCCCAATATCCACAAGTGGAAAAAATGGCCAGCAATTCTCATAGGAATGCTGATAAACTAGAAGCAAATGCAGCCACAGAAATGACTGGTCAGCACCAGTGGAAGCATAAATGATCAGACTGGAGACTGATCTTTAACTCTGAAAAAAGAAAAGAAATAAAATATAACCATTTGCTGCATGGATTCTTTTCCTCTCATCTCCAAACACAGGAGCCCTCCCCAGCCTACCACCTACCAGGTTCCTGTGAAGATGAGCTCTGAGAACTTGACTGAGAACTTGTTTCCCCAGGTATTTCCTCTGCAGTCTTCTCCTTAAATATTAGGGAGCTTTTCAGCCAAACAGGGGATTTTTCTGGCATTCTGTTGCCCTCAGCACTCAAGCTCTTGGAAACTGGTACTTCAGTAAGCCTGTAGCTGACAGGCAAAGCTGCACAACTGGTCATAGAGGAGGATTCAAGATTGTTAGGAAGGTCCATAAGAGTATTTGTAAGTGATATCTCAGGTATCTGCTCCTCCAGGAAGCCATCTGGCTCAGACAGCAGATCTGTAATGAAGGAAAACTTCCCCGTAGGGACAGTTTGCTTGGGTGCAAGTTCTGTTGAACTTCCAGTGAGAACATCGGCACCATCACTTTGTCTGGCCAGGGTATCAGACTCTGGAGGTCTAGAGTTGTTTCTCTGAGGCTTGGGTTTGCAACAGGCTTTTTTTTTCAAATCACTCATGTTGTTGTCAACATTAGCTTGCCTTTCTTCTTGAAGGCCTCTTGTCTGGTTCTTACTGCTCTTTTGATAGTTCTTAGCAGCTCTGGGGATTTTGCTAGGTTTGATACCAGGAACTGACCTGGGAGGTACATTTTCACCCCCATCAAGTTCTGTCTGGACGCAACCCAAGTTTCCTGCAAGATCCAAAGGGTGAACAATGTAAGTTTTCCTGTTACGTTTAACATTACCAGGCAAATCCTTTGTGCTCTCCTCATCTACTCCTTGAACATCTGTACAGGGCCCAAAAACATCAACTTCGTTTCTCTGATCACAATTGCTTAACCTGACAGTTTTCCTCCTTGTCTGGCTTCTTTTAGGATGTTCTTCAGCTTTGGCCTTTTGTATCTTCACACTCTTTGGCAGATACTCCTCATCAGAATCAACTCTTTGCCTAATTACTCTAGTTTTTCTGTTGGTTTGCTGTCTGATGCTCTTTCTGTTTACACTTGAGTCCTCCTGCAAAGCACAGGCACTTGAGGTCTCTTTCCTGAAGAAAAGTGAATTTTGTGGCCTGGAATCATCTGAGGGAATTTCATGACTTGAAAAAGTATGAACTGGGCTTTTTAATAAACTCTCCATATTTTGGATCTCAAAGATAGGTCCCTTCTTAACCTGTTGCATTAAGTCACCACCTTCAAGACTGGGCAGCTGTGCTGGATTCACCACAAATGTACTTTCAAGATCTCGGATCCTATCAGGAGAGTGGGAACGGTGCTCCACACTACAGTCTCTGTTCTTGCTGTCAAAAGCCCCCACATAGGCCTTTTGCCCCACCTCACAAACTTCAGACTCAGTAGAGCGTGTTGCAACTTCGGGCTGAAGAAGTTTCTTTGCATTTTGAGCACACTCTCCACTTTGAGATATATCAGGACTACTTTCTGCACTGTTTTTAGTTGCGTTTGTTTTCTTTTTTCCTGTGCTTGCTCTTTTAACAGTCATTTTCTCACCAGTTTTACAACTACCTTTGCTTTTAACCTTTATAGGAACAAACGCAGGGACTTGGCTATAGGTGGAGTCCGTTTCAACACCACACTCAGTTTCTTTAGCCTGTGGCTGATCACAGAAAGTCTCTTTACCCACAGATTTTCTATCAGAAATAACACTGGTTTGCGTAGGTGAAGCCAGGGAGCTGGGTGATTTCAGCTGTTGCTGTGTGTTGTTGTTGCTGGAGCTGCTGCTGTCCTTTGCGACACTACACAAAGCAGCCTGAGTGGAACTGACTCGCGGGAAGATACCCACACCAGAAGATGGAGTGCTTGTAGCAAATAGGGTGGAACGCTTTCTCCTCTGAGTAACGTGCCCTTGTGAGAGACGATCAAGGAAATGTTTTGCCATCTCATCAGCCTCATACGAAAGACGATGACTTTCCCAGGCAAGCGCTGGGAAACTGTTGGGATTTTGGTTGGTAGTGCACAAGACCTCTGTTGGAAAGACAAAATTCATTCCTAAGATGGAGAAATGCGGCAGGCAAATGCCAGCTTTCCCAATACCACGAAAAGCCTTGCCCCACACACTGCCACAAATCCAGAGCATAGAAAAACATGATTTTGTCTCTACAGAGACTCCCCAAACTTTCTGTGTAACAGAATTGCTCATCTGGCTCCCCCTCTGAACAAAAAGACATTCCAAAGCAAAATCCCGTAATCTGCGATAATATTTAGGAACACTCATGATCCATATAAGAGTTATTACTTATATGGCAAATCCACAAGGAAAAGTTGTGCATCTAGTCAGATTCTGCACCTTCAGACATTTCTGAAAATCTTATGTAAGCTCAGTGCTTACTGCTCAAAAAGCCTGATTTGCAATCTTGAACTATCGCAAACATGCCAAATATCCACAGCAACACATCCCATTCTGGGATACGAGTAACTACAGCAATAACAGCACCGGGAAGCATGCAGTTCCTACTAGCTATTGGAGTCATGGTTAGGAGCTAACTGGAACTCTGGCACTGCACTCATGCATTTCTGAGCACAGATACACAAAGCCATACCAGAAGAACAGCAAAAGATGCAAATTTACCTCCAAAGATGCAAGAGTCATGAAAAGCCTCCTGCGTTTCCTTTGTTTCGGTGACATTCTTCCCATTCTCTTCCTGGTGGGATTGAGGTTCCTCAGCATGCTGTGGTGGCAAAGTGTCTTTGGAGGCAACAGGCACGATTTTCAGGGGCTCATTAGAAGCAGGTCTCTGAAGTTCTCCTGAGGATGTTTGTACTGCTGTGGAGCTGTCACCTTGCTGTCCTGCATCACACAGCTTGGAAATGCGCACCCTCATTGGTATCCCTGTAGCCCTGGTGAGAAGGAATAACAGCAATGGAGCATGTTCCATGTATATGACAGCCCCAGAATCCAGCAGAGTAGCTACAGTTTTCACCTCCATCAGTTGACAAAATATATTTCTCAAGTCTCCAAGTGCTGAAGAACACACACTGCCCAAGCAGGAGAGATTTCCCACTTTTGGGCAAGCACAACACATAAGGAAATCACACTGCTGTGGACACAGAAGTAGGAGAAAAATACACTGAAGGAACAAGGAAGTAAAGGCCTTTCAGCACACAGGTTGTGATCACACATTCACCTTGCTGTGGAACACCAACGCAGCTGCCTGGTGTTACACGTGTGGGCAACCCCAAGGACTCCCCTGTGCTCTGAAGGGAGACTAAACAGAGGAGAAACAGAACTTCAGATACATTTTAAGAGACCCTGCTCTGATCATTTTTCCAGAATACAAGTTTACATCATACAAGCAGGTGACTATTAAGCATATATATGTAACAAACAAAGTGGCCAGCTATGGCATTCACTCATTCAAGGAAATCTTGCAGTGCTCACCAGCTACAGGGGGAAAACTACCCAAAAGTAATGCACTCTCAAATAAAAAAGGCAGGACCACCTTTTGCACAGACTTGGCATTAGGACAAACAAGACAAGGAGTGGCAGCAGAAAGACACAGAGTAAAGGAAAACATCAAGCAGTGGAGGTTCAGAGAAGATATCTCACATAAAACTGGCAACTGGGCACACACATAAAACACATGAAGTTTAGCATCTAGAAATTCAGGACAAGCTTGCTGATATCATTTTAAGGCCCACCTCAGAAGATGACCATCTGCAATATCATCAGCCCAGCAATCTTCAGTCATGCTGCTCTTCTGGCCACTGGAAAAGGATGCAGAATTTGTATGAAACTGGAAGGAAGAGAAATAGAAGAATGGGTTAAAGTTGTTACAATCCTTAGTGCAGCCTCATGCACAGAAACAGCAGAAGCTCAGTTTCACTCTGGAAAGAATGTAAAATGCTGCCAGTGACCCACTCCCATTTAAAATTGCATAAATTATGAAATAAAAAATTATGAAATAACTAGATTCTGTCTCCACAAGATTAAGGATGAAGTTAAACCAGTTCAGATAATATGAGACTAGGAAGCAGGAATATTTTCCCCATCCACCCATGAGACAGGACATAGGGAAAATGTCCTATTCCCTATCCCAAGTTGCCATGGCAAAACTTTAAAAAATAAATTGAAAAGAAGTCATAACGTGTCAGAGCAGAAGAGCCTACCGGCCAATACAGCCAACGACCTAGAGGAAAGCAGTTTAAAACTGTAGCCCTTCCAACAAATAAATTACTGCAGAAATCCTTAACATCAAGCTAAAAACAAGGATGCAGCCGGTATAATTCAAGCAAGCAAATAAAAACAGCTTAAGCATCCAACACTGCAGTGAGCAGGCAACACAAAGCAAAAAACAGAGACAAACAAAGCCCCCTTCCCAGAGCGGTGTGCTCATGTTTCCCATGGTTTACCTCAGACAGCCGGGCCATCTTAACTGCAGCCAGAAGATTTTCAAATTCTTTCAAGATATGATTCTGTTGAGGTAATAAAAGAGAGAGAAACCATAAAGACATTAAATTAAAACATCTATTCCAACAAGGATATTGGTAGCTAGAGCAAGGAACTGGGGAGAACACAGCTTGTGAAAAAAAAAAAAAGCAAATGAATGGTGACATTTTTCATATGCTGAGAATTTGGACAATCAGCAACAGGTCACTCCTCCCAAGGTTGAGATGCTAGTGCTGCATGCCTTGCCTACCACACCTCCCCATGCCAGCCACGTTGCTAGTGCCATACCTGGAAGGAGAGCCTGTGCCGCAGCACAGCGTTCTGGAAGTGGCACTGCTCCACCTCCTTCTGTAAGATGGTCTTCTCCCGGGTGAGCCGCTGTGCATTGGCTTTCTCTGCATTGAGGGCCAGAGCCAATGCTTTATTGTTGTGCTTCAGGGAGACTTTAATAGTAGAAGAGTTGTCTGTAAGAGATAGAGAGATATCACACAGAATCAGCATCCAAGGTTTCATCCATGCCTCTTCCCTCATCATACTTCTTCTTCTCTTTCCAGAATAGCTTTCCTTAGATTTGGATCTCTACAACTCAACAGCCCACACACAAAAACAGCAGTATAATTCCTTCCAGCAATAGAAGTCTCCAGAGAAGAGCAGGAACAAAATTTCCATAATAACCTGCAACACTTCAGACACCCTCTTCATCCTCAGTTGGTCATGCTCAGGTGGCAAGCTACTGCTTCAATTCTTAATGCATGATAGCATGGTTCAGGTGCTGAGTTTGAAAAGATATGCTTCTGGCTTTGAATATGCCACCTGAGTCCTCATCTCTATCCAAAAAGTGGGAGAAAAACCTATTTTCCTCTAGTTGTCCTTGAGCAGATTTAGAGCCATGTTTCCCAATTTCAAAACCATTAAATAAGAGTAATAGAAATATCTAATTTTTTCAAGGTAGTCCAAATTATCTCATGTGCTATCTTTGCATTATTTCCCCCATAAAAACAAGTCACAGTTGGGCTAGCTTCTGCACAGGATTGCATATACACTAAAATACTTTCCACACCTCTTGTTTTTGCTATTTGGACCCTGAGGACTCAGTTTCCCAAACACAGATGTCTGATGTCGTCTGAGATGCTGCTGAGCAGCCTTTGACGCCCCAAGCTGCTGTTCCAGAGGTTCTGTGTTAAACCTGCCAGTCACAGATACTTCAGACACCCTTGGACACCTTGAGTGACACTTAACACTCATTTGCAGGGCACTGAATTCAGTAGAAACCCCTCGGGCAGAGAAGCTGCCAAGACTGCCGCCCACCGCCACGGCCAAAGGCACAGTTCCAAGCTGATGTAGCTGCCAGCCCCTGCACGCGCTGCAACGCAAAATACACTCACTAATGATTTTCGTTTTGATTTTGGATACAAGCGAGGCATTCAACTTCGCAGTCCTCAAGGCACCCTTTTTCTTCTCCCGCATCCTCTCTCTTACGTCGCTCAGGCTGAAGAAGGACGTGTCGGCGGCCTTCAAAGACGCCATCGCTGTAGAGTGACACCAAGCAGGGTTAGCACCCGTATTCCCCGCCAGCAAGTCCTTGGCGGCCAAGACTCGTACTACCCCCGAGCAGCGGCCCCGCGGCCCCTCACGGCCCGAGCAGCTCTGGGCACAGCCCCGCCGCCCCCCGCACGGACCCCCGGCTCACCTGCGGACGGGGCGGCTGCCTCTCGCCGCGGACGGGGCCGGAAGGGAGGGCGCAAGAAGGAAGAGGAAGCCCTGACTGCCGAGCGACTTTTGAAAGCGAGCGGGCCGGCGGGCAGCCCGCCCCTCGCCCCGCCCCGCGAGGTGGCGGCGGGAGGGGCGTCCTTGGCCCGCCGGGGCTGCTCTGTCCGCCCTCACGGCGAAGGCGGACCCCGAAACGCGCCTTCCCGGCCGCAGCGGCCCCGCTGCCCTTCGGGCTGGAAGCCCCGAACTTTGAGGCGCTGCTACCGCCACCTGCCCCGGCCCCACGGAGCTACACCGCTCCTGGAATGCCTCAGAAAAGCCCGGGGGTTGTTCTGAAGGGCGAATTTCACCCAAAAATGAGGGTTGGTTCGTGTACAGAGCTTGGGTTGCAGCTTTCACCTGACAGTCACGTTTTACTGTCTATTAAAATGATTTTTTTTCTTATGTAATTTTCACTTCAGCACAAGTTAATGCACTGTTTTCCAGACACCCTTGAATATGCCCTCAAGAAGCTGACATTATATATGCTGGTGTGATGACGTTAAATATTTTAAGGAAATGACACATAAGGAAAAAGCAGCCAAATAATTTGAAAAACAATGATTTAGAGTGGAGATGCAATTTATAGCAGAGGTGCCAAGAGAATAAGGCCGATGAAAACGTGTCTACCTATTGTCCCCAAACGGGTTCCTTTAACCCGTGTGCTATTGGCTGGTCCCCACATAGAGTCAAGGTATTTGATTTATTTACATTTCTGCGCAGAAAGGAATGCTGGGGGTCAAATCCACAAAGCCAGCACTATGACTATCAAAACTTTTCACTATTTATACGTTTTAGTAAACAAAGGCATTAATGTTCATTGGCTACAAGTTCCATAGTTCTCTTATTCATCAGTATTCTATCTTTTATTAGTTGAATGATTCCCTCACTTCTTATGCTAATTAGTCCATATACTCTTCTTTTGACTTGGTGGGTTTCATGAGTCAATGGTCACAATGTGCCCCTGCCAGAATTATCTTTTACCTAGTTGGGGCTGATTTCAGCACAGTTGATGAATTGGCTTTGTTAGGTTCTTCCTTATCTTGGGAGTTCTGCCAAATGTCCTTGTGGCTCATAAATTCTGCATTCTTTGTGTCCACTATCAGTAGTACATCCTTCTCTCCAAACTTTTTTAATGTCCCGCTGGAGCTGAGATCATTGAGCATGTCAAGGCCTAAACTGGTCAGCAAATTAAATTAACAGTTGGTATTTTAAAACCAGAGACTCTCTATTTAAATAGTGGAAATCTTTGCCAGGAAATATTGCAGATGTCAATTACTCAAAATTTCAATTTTACTTACTCAAAAAGCGATTGGACAAGTTTGTGAAAGTTAAAAACAAGCAAGGGCTATTGACAACCAATGCAACACTTTTTGCTGAAGAAGGTCCTGAACTGGAGAACAGAGAAATACACTGAGAAAGTTTGATGCCTGCCAGCACATTTCCTCCATCTCTTCCCCAGGCATCCACTAGTGGCTGCTATTTTATCTTTACCTGGGAAGAGGACAAACACAGTGGCTTCCCCTGCCTTGCAGTGATGCAGAAGCATTTCTTGCATTTGGGGAAATGGCAGGAGTCAGTTCATCTGAGGGCTAGGGACCAGACTCATTTCAGGAAAGTCCCTTTCTTCATCAGGGTATCAACCCTCGCTACATAACAGGAGAGGGGCTGGGTTAGTAGGACTTGAGGTCAGCCCTGGCATGACTATGTTTACTTTGTGAAGGTCACTTTTCCCTCTCATCTGGCCACACCAGCAGATAAGTCCTGTGTAAGTGTAACTGGTGGAAAGTTACACCTGGCAAGAAGTAGATCTCTGTTTCTCAGAGCAAGAAGCAGCAGCTCTACTGGAGACACGATTGCCACGATGCCTGCCAGGTGAATGCCCTCAGAAATCAAACCTAGCTTGGAATGAAAGGTGGGAAGTGCTAAGCTTGGTGGTCCTTCTGCCATAGAATAAATGAGAATGGAAAATGAAATAACGAATAGAAAGCATAACACAAATTCTACAAATACCAAGTAGACATCTTCCTGGAAAACATCTATGTCTCATGATAATACATTTCCTTTTATGTTTTCTTGGGCCGTCACAAAGAGGGGCAACATTATGATCATTCTCATAAAATCATTCCTATTTTTTACTAGGAAGTCAGTTAATAACAGAAAAATTACATTTCCAAGAAGAGGGATGGCTCATTCCATTCAGAGCTACAGCCTGCAAACTTTCCTAATCTACAAAATCCAATAGCTTCTCACTGACTTGCTAGTCATCGTGATACATTGGCTACCATCAGCAATCCCGTGCAAAATGTGTCCTGCCTCCATTGGAAGGACAACAGTGGGGCTTAGAACATCATGTTGGGATTTTCTGACTGTTAGAATTTCTCTCAATACTGTAAGCAAAAACATAACATAGATGAAAGAACAAGTAGCAGCATCCTTGCTATATGCCATAAACGCTGGAAATGGAACTGTAGATGGGCTCTTGGCAGGTATCAGGTCTAGTCTTTCACCATTCCATTTGGTGAAATGCTGAAACAGTAGAAGCTGGTATGTTCTTTTACAAGGAATTAGATCTGTTAGGAAACCTGGTGAATAGTTTCTGCCTCCCTTGTTAGCGAGTCTTTTATGTTTCCAACTAGCCACTCAGCAGTGTAACTCAATGCTCATCAAAGGATCATCTAGCTTGAAACTGATAACCCAAGCTGAAGGTGCAGGTTTAACCTCTTCTTTGTGATGGTTTCGGTGTGTTGTTTGGGGTTTTTTTCTTTCAGTTACTCTCAGGTCAGCAGCATTGTTTCTACGCAACATTGTTTCTAAGCAGCAGTCCTGCATGAAGCCATAGCCTAATTTCCCTGGCACACAAAGGAAGACAGAGGCAAGAAAGGAACAACAACATCAAGAGGGAAATCGTCCTCATAAATACCTGAAGTCAGAGAGGCTCCAAACCCAGATCCTGAGGCCTATTGCAAAAGCTGACACAGGTAGTGCATGATTTCTTGTGTACATGTATGAGAGGTAGAATAGGGGGACAATATTCAGCAACAGAGAGTTTGTATATTATGGAGCAAAGGAGTGGAGCACGTGCTCCACGTGCATGTTACAATATATTGGTGGGCCAGGTGCTGGCTTATCTCTTTGCTGTTAGTTCATCTTGCAGCCTGTCCTCTTCCCTGTTTCTACCGCATAGATCTGGTTAACAGACACACAGTGGGGAGAGCAAGCCTTGTGCTAAGAAACCTGTAAGCGGCAGCAGGTCAATAGCTTGCATTATATGAGAGATATACATCACTACGTTGGGGATGCAGGCAGCCTGCAAGCTGATGCACAAGACTGATGCTTATTCTAAATGGGTTCATTCTGCCCATTTCCCATTACCAAACTCTTTACCATCACTCTCAGTACTGTTCATGTTGTCTTCTTTCTTGACTAAATTTTTGTCAGTTTCTATTTTAATCCTACCTTGGAAATTATTTTGGCTAGATTTTTGTAGGGGGTCTCCCAAGTGTCACGTTCTCTTTATCTGTTTTTGAGATTTGTTCACTGGCAGAGACACTTGGTTCTCTCCTAGATCCCATTGAGCTTATGCTACAATGACAACTAGAATATGGAAAGAAAACACCTGAAGAAAAAGATTGAAAATCTTCTGTAAGTAATAACTGCCCACAACTGCTTTCACTGCACTAGAGATTGGCTTGTTTTCATTGCAAAGAGTTGTATGACTAGGTGGATGACAACTCTCAAACCTCAGTCTTCTCTTGCTGGAAAGTGTAAACAGACTTCTTTTGACAATTTCTTGCATGCAGTCTGCAGTGTAAGCCCTGACTGCACATGGGACAATAGAATCATCACAGCCCAGAACTTGCTCAGTGGAGCAACCAGAGAGGTGCAGAATTCCCCCCCTGCAATGCATCCAGGGCAGCTGCTGTCTGTAAGGGGTCTCCTAGTTCATGCCGCAGTGTCTCATGCTCTTCAATGCAGGATTGCCCAGCAGACAACTCCTCGGGGATGTAAGCAGTGTCCTCTCTACTCCACACAACTCCTGTGCCCATCTTCTCTAGGAATGCTGGCATGGATCTGTAGTATTTCATCTGAGGAAAGACTGCAGAATCAGGCCTCCTTTGAACGAGAAGAACAAGCACCAGTGAAGGATCTCTTTCATTCTCTGTACAGTGAAATTCTTCTGTGAGTCCCCAGACTTTAAATAATGGTTTCATATTTCTTCTTCCTATTTTGGAGCCTTTGAGGAAGAAAGCAGTGTGGTTTGAAGGAAGCTAAGATTAGCAGAGATGCAAAAAACTAACAGCTTTCCTACTTGGGAACTATCTGTGAGAAATCCTGCAGCAGATTCCTAGCCCCGAATCACAGTGAATTTAGCCTTGGTCTTGCAGTATCTTTAAAGTCCTCTATTACATTTCCTATGCACTGGTTTGCTTAGAACCAGCTGTAATTTAGAGTTATTTCCTTGCTTTAAGGGGAGATTACATTGGCATCAGACTACGAGAAGAAGAATTTGATCCAAGAGGACAAAGGCCACCCACCTTTCTAGATGACATGGTAATCACCAGAATTCCTACTTCCTATCCTCTTTAACTGCGGGGCTCCTGAGAATTCTGAAGGATGGCTATTTGGTACAGCTAAATAACCTATCCCTACAATGATAAATAGCAGCCCATTACTGAAATGAGTACCTAAACTGGCTGTGAATAGCACCTGGGTATAATGTATCCAAGATAATTCAAGATTTTGTTGATTTTTTTACCAAGAAAAAGCTATTCAGAGAAGACATTTGATAAAGTTAAGTCAACTAACCAAAGATTATTCTTCACAAGCCAAGTCTGTTGGTGCATAACAAAACAGAAAGTCTTCCTGGATGCATTTTAAACCTCTGAAACCTCATCAAGTGTCTTACAACAAGTGAGGTACCCAGTTAGTTGAGGCAATATTGGGCACAGCTCAGGTTTCCCTGCATTACCCTGGTCTTTCTGTCTTCCCTCAGTCAAGCAATTCCAGTCAAACAAAACAAATAAGATTCTTCTGTCTTTCCAGGTCCATTACAACTTAGCCCTCAGTGTTGCTTTACTGTGGCTTAGTGACTTGGATGCTCCGATTGCACTGACAAGAGAGAAAATGTGAGTATTGAAAAGCTGAGGTCCTGCTGTTGCGGTGGGTTACACCAGTCTGAAAATGAGGTAAAAGCAGCAGTGAATCGGCCCCAGGACTACTTTTTGCATTTATAACACCAGAATAATAATCTTCTTGTTCAAAACACCATACAGGAGCTTTGCAGCTCGCAACAAATACACATATCCCAACCGAACTGAGAGAGAAGCTATGATATTATCTTCATACGCTGGAATATTAATGGTAAGAGCACAAGAAAGATGGCAGTATCTTTTATTCTATGGCATATAGAATAGAATAGAATAGAATAGAAAACTCCCTGTACCCCAGATGCCTTTGTTCATCAAAAGCACAGTATACAGACAGTGCAAATATTGCAATTCCATTCCATTTGTAACAAGTAGCCATTAAGTTTTGTGCAGTCTTAGAAAACAAAGTAGTCGGTTTCAGTAGATGTGGATATGTTACTTAACTTGTTTCACCCAAGCGCAAAATGGCAAGCAAGTTTCAGGACAAGATCTCAATAGATTTGTACCAGCAGTATGAAACAATACCAGAAGTTCATGTGAAAGCTGTTTCAGAGATCAAAGGAAGGGGATATGAGCTGGATTTAATTCATTTACTTGAAAGAATACTACTGCTGAAAGCTGAATCTCTCTTTTACCTGTTTTTTTACCTTTTACTGCTCACAGAACAGCATTCCTGTAGAAGAGATCTTTGAGATTTACAGCATGAGGCCCTCAGCAACACACTGGCAGAGGTCTGCAAATGTGAGTGATTGGGGGTTTTTTCAGCATCTGTAAAGGAAGTGATCCTATAATATCTGTGCCTTTCAAAAAAAAAGCTACATTTTAAACTGAAGTCATTTGCCCCTTTTGCCCCATTAGTAACAGCAAACAAGCTCCAGCCCTCTCTTAGGACACAGCAAAAAGCTGAATTATTCACCACCTCCTTCTCTATCTTACAGTGTGCCAGGGAGAGGCAAGAAAAGGGCAGCCCAGTTACTCACATCCACACTAAGATGTAACACCTGCACCTTTGTGATAATGCTTTACAGAGGAGCATTCCCGCCAGTGTGCTCTTATTACCACTAGTGTGGAGTAGGGGAAGAGGCTATGCAATTCTGAGACACAGCCTGGCATGTGTTCAGAGCAACTTTCTCTAGCAATGTATCTTTAGTCATATAATTGCCCTTTAAAAACCAGGAAAGGTATTACAATCTTTAATTTATGACTCAAGTCACAGGAAAGTATTCCATATGACCCAGGTCCATAATGAAAAAGCATTTGTACTGGAATATATAGATTTTCTTTTCAGTAACACAGACTTTATTGATGTTTCCCAAGCAACCATTAAAAGTTGATGTGGACTTGCAGTCAGACTATAACAGATGATTCACGTGTAATTCACAGTGCACTTTATTTTTTTTTTACCTCAGTCATGCTTAGCTGTAGTATCAATGACAGACTGCCACCCGCTGTCCAGAAAGGGCAGAGCTACACCAGCTCACAGTTACAAGCAGAGAACAGCCTTGACTGTAACCTCTCTTAGTTTAATTCTTCCATGTCAAGCACTAGATATGTCACTAGATGCCACGTAAGGGCATTTCACAATATGTTATTTAGAAGGAGGGATCTTATTCTCTGCTCCTGGGACAAGAGGGTGGATCAGCTGTCCCTCCTTTTGCTGTGAATATTACACTGTATATTTTCACTGTCTTGCTTCTTATGGACAGGAATACTTTTCTCTAGGAACTTCCAACCCAGGATATTTTTAGAAATCTCTATTTTGAGTGCTCACCATACATTGCAGAGGAGTGATATTTTCTTGAAAGGTTTCCAGCTACTCATGCTGTTTCCCATGGTGGGGTGTTTGAGTTTTTTTTGAGTTTTGGTGGTTTTTTTCTTTGGGAGGAGGGGAGGTTATTAGTGGTATTTTTAGCTTTGATTTATATTCTGATGTTATGCAAGCAGAGACAAAGAAAGACATCTCATGTTACTGTGCACTTGCCTAGATCCTGTTCCTCATGGACTCAGAGACACTTCCTTAATGGTCACAAGGTAGCAAAGTTAAAAAATTTTCTAAAGAGGAAGATAAGCCATTGTTATCAGGATTTCCAGTTCCTGTTTCAGCCAACACCACTGCTTCATTTTATTCATGGGCTTAAGATCATTCCCAACCTATGAGAAAGGAACAAAAATGCTTTGCTGAGCTGGGAAGCTAAGGATACTTTATTTTGCAAAGCCTTGATTCATTTAAGAGGTTAAACCTACTGTTTTAAACTAACAGTAACTCTTGGAGCTCAACTTATGCTTCCTTAAGAGTCCTGGACTCAAAGAGATGGAATACAGCCATCTGAAAATTCAGTTTCTGTGGGTATTTCCCACTGAAGTAAAATGGTGGAGATTCCTGTTACCCCTCATCACTTTTGAAGCTTTGGCTTGAATCTCCTTGGAAATCAAGCACTAGCCTTACCAAGATATATAGGTACTTAGGGAGCCTAAGCCACATCCTAGTGACATTTAGGATGGAGGTTATAAATGGTGCTCATCCATCAGGACTGCTGAAGCAGTTACCTTAGTTTCTGCTGACCAGAAGAGTATGTCCATTGTCTTAGCACATAGTTTCTGCAGGTACACTTATTTATGAATTGTTGTCTTTTCAGGACCACTGGATTCAACCTTTCAGGTTCTCCCTGCATCCATTTGCCATGCTGACTGCCCCTGAAGCTGCAGAGTATGCCTGGAAGCAAAGTGAGTACATTTCACCCCAACTCCTACAAGGCCAGGGCAGGGGAACACAGAGCAGCACCAGGCCCAGCAGAGCCACCAAGTTACAGCCTGCTGAGCTCCAACAGCTGCACATGGAAAGGACAGTGAAAGCCTCGGTCTGTGCGTCTTCTGTTGTTGGGGCATGGGGGGAGGTACAGGTGTTTTCTCATTGTAGCCTAGAAATGGCATCTAGCTCAGGCTCCTGAGGTTCATGACAATTGCAAAAGGTGCATTTTGCTCAGGTTGAGGTAAAAAATATGATTACATGTTTCTAGTAGAATCAGCCTTCATGTCTGTCCATCACTTGTTTGTTCTTAAGCTTGGACTAATACTAGAACTTTTGCAAAGGTCAGTTATGCTACTGGCCAGCAAGAGCCACCTACAACTTGCCTGTTTCTTCTCCAAGTGCAGCACAAATGAGAATAACTGCAGGAGCATTAGAGAATTTGAAGCTGGAACCCCTTACCTCCAATCATGAGATGACTGCAAGTGAGCCCATGCAGTAGGTCTGTAAACAAGCCTGGTGGCATTCTGTAAGCCCAAGATGATACGAGGCTCTTTCTCTCTCCCAAGGCATCAAGTACCAGACAGCAACAGCACATCAAAAGCAAGGACCTTGTTCAGCAAGGAGAGCTAAAAAGGACCACAAGCAACTAGACCCACTGACCAGAGGAAAGCAACACATTGACAAAGTAGGTCTGAAGAATTCACACAAGCCAGTAAAATAGTGTTTGCAACACTATCACTGGATGTCACAGAGTGGCACTTCAGGCCACTTGGAGCCCACAAAGCCCACAAAAGAGTCTGCCCTTTTCAGTTCTCTTTAGCATGAGATGTTTCATAGCAGCACTAGTTTATAAAATAATGTCAATTCTAAATTGGACTGCAAGCTATTAACAGGAGGTGTCACTCGTGAGCTGGAAAGTCAACTCCAGTAATATTCAATATATACATGGAAAGCACCCTCCTGGTTAATATCCCTGAAAAACATATTCACATTTAGGTTTAAAAAAACCAAACCTATTGTTATAAAAATTAACAAAAACCTAACTCCATAAAGAACCCAGTAATGTCAGATTAGCCCAGCATGTTCATGACTTAGGTTCTGCCTTTCTATTTGACCTTGATTTGCTAAAGCCTGTTGTTTGCCGCAGCTCCACTGAGCAGCAGAGCTAAGAAAACATTCCAGCAGCAGGGCTGGATTTGATGAACTAGAGTAAGGGTGCTCCCCCACAGCCCTGAGTTCAACATGCATCACATATCACACAGCAGGAGGGAAGCTGATCTGCCATGCAGTCCCCATCTCTCCCAATGGATTCAGCCCCGCCTGCTGTGCTTGCGCTTATTAACATTTGCATCCTGCAGGGAGCTACAGAAGCAAAACAAGGAATCTCTCCAAGGAAGCCTGGAACAGATTCAAAAGTGAGGAATGCAAAGGAAGCAAAGACATAACAAAAAACCTAAACTTCACGTACCTCACTTAGTTGTAGGTGAGCTAACTGATGTCTTCTATCTTAGCTTTGGTAATACATTTGCAACTTCTGTTTTGGTTGATTGTTTTTTTTGTTTGTTTGTTTTTAAATCTTAGCAGTCATTCCTTCCTTCCTTCCCACCCATCATATCTTACATCCAAGACATTCACTCCTCTTCCCTTAGCCAATTCTCTCCTGCTCCCCTGCCAGTGTGTTGGGAGCTTACATTTTCCCAGTGCTTCCCTACTGATTCTCAATGCACCATGCTACTTTTACAGAGGCAAAGAGAGGATGCAGCACTTCAGGGGCAGAGAATACATACTTCCCCTTTTCCACAGTGCTTTGCAACTCCCACACATGATCCAGTGTTGGGCAGGAATGAGCGTCCCTGCACGTGACATGTGGGTTTTGCCTCTCAGGATGATCACAATTTCTTCAGCTCTCCCCTCTAACCATCCTGCTTTCTTATTTTAGCAAAGGGATCAAAAAGCCTCTCCCTGCAGTGCCAGTGTGGCACTGAAGTCTGTCTTCCAATCCCCATTTGTAGGTCTCTGATGATTTGCCTCTGTTATGTCCATGCTGTGTTGCCAAAGAACACTCCCCATTTCCTAGATGAGCTGTCAACTTTCATCCTTGTACTGACTCTACCTTGGAATATAAGCTGGATGTGGTTCTCCTTCCACATCCCTCTCTTCCTCTGTCACGAAGCTTGAGCACACAATATGGAGTGTTTGTATTAGACTCCTTCTACCTAATTCCATAGAAATTTCAGGGCTCAGTGGGATTGAAGTATTTCCTGCTGAGAGGTGTGTTTAACATTAATTGCAGGGTAGAGAGACTTCATTAGGGCTCTTTACATATAAAAATGAAGATTCCCAGATACTTGTAGCCAGGGGATAAACAGTTATCCAAAGTGGGGTCACATATTGTACAGCTGCATTAACCCATCTCTTGGAGATGGTCCTGTACTCTAACACAAAGTATCTGCTAAAGGAAAAACCAATAAACATTTGTGAAGCAAAAACATTTTTCTCCTTTTCTCCTTTCTGCTGGCTCTGAGTCACTGAGCCTATTTATGGAGATGCCAAAAGACAGCACTACACAAGAAAGCCTGGGAATGGTTAAATTTAATCAGGGATTAAAGGGTCTTTTAGACGTCCTCATGGACTCAAAGCTTGCTTTCAGCTTACCGGGTTCACAGTGTTTTGTTTTTTTAATATATCACAAATTTCCTGTTAAAATCACCTGTCCTTTCAATTCTGGTTTGTCCCTGGGGAAAGCCCTGACTACAGGGCTACATTTAGAAATTACAGATTAACCAGTGACTCTTTGTGCTGATATAGATGGGGCTTCTTAGCCGTACCACGCATCCCCACACTTTCCTTTCAAGCCATGTGAGCCCCAATTCTAGGCCTTAAGGAGTCAGGTGAGAGGGCCAGAGGGGACCTGAGGTAAACAGCAACATCACCTTCTATATTACACAGGAACTCTTTAAGAATTTCTGCAGCATCAGCTGTTTTGGCCTGGTTAGTTCACTCTGCAGGAAGGGAGACTGCTGGAACACACTATCCAATCCTATCTAATAGTTCCTACCTCTCCTCTATTGTCTGTGTTCACTGCTGAGATAGGTCTACCCTGTCATATTCAGCACTTGCTTTTTCCTGGAGCTCAGAGCATCCATCAGCTTCTGAGCAGAGGCTTCTGTTCTTGCAAACAAATTCCATAGAACAGTAGGCCAGTGACAGGACCTGAGCAAATTTCCTCCCAATTCAAACAGCACCAGTCTGACCCCTGGAAAGCCAAAACAGAGAGAAATTGTCCTTTGAAATGAGGTCACTACAAGAGGGGAGGAGGGGATATTGCTGCTGAGCACATGAGAGAACAATGGTAAGGGGGTGGTTCAGATTAAACAGCTAGACAGAGAGATTAACATCTCATGACTGTTTTTTGTTCACTGACCTGTAATAAAATAAACAGTAAGACTTTAACAAATAGGTGATTAGCCTTGTTATTCCAGTGCTGTCTTTGCTATGGAGTACTGCCATGGCCTTCACTTTTCTTCGAATAATACTTCCTGGTTTTATAGGTGAGACTGGTGGAGTTAAGAGGAATAAGCAGTAGAAATCTTACTATGCTAATAAGCAGAAAAACAGTGTTTTATTTTCAGAGTGCAAGTCCCTGCCCCTTCGCTACTCCCTCTTCTGTTGGCTGGCTGGTATCTGATTGTCTACACACAGAACTCAAGCCCAGAGGATCAGAAGGTTTGCTGCTCACATGTTCAGACAGCCAGAATTAGGGAGCTGAAAGGTGCTTGTAGATGTGGGCACTGTGGGATTGATTGCCACCTTGACTGAAAATTCCTCCTTTCCTGAGCTATATTGTCTCCTGAATAATCAAGGTCTTGCTGCAACCGACCAATTAGTCAGGACAACTTCAAACTCTTTTCTCAGCTACGCAGAAAGCGATGGACATAGTTCAGAGCTCAGATGCAATGCAGAGTCATGAATTTGTTCTACAGGACCAGAAGAGACTTCTGATCACATGTGCACAGTTAGCACCAGTTGTCACATGCATATAATTAGTGCCTACCATTGCACTGCAATACTGTCCACAGTGAGAAAAGTAAGAGGCCATTCCTGGTCTGCTCTTTCGAAATACCTGAAATCACAGTACTGAGGCAAGTGGGGAACTCAACAGGGCATTATCCACTTTTCCTTTGGCAATTTAAGAGCTGCCTATTGTACCCCAGAGGTCAACTTCAGCAGCAGTACTCATGGTGGCAGCTTGGTGTTGCAATTCATAGCCCAGTTTATGACACTGAAATCAGATGGTTTCACTCTAACACTCTTGACTGTGAACAGCACAGCAGCTGAGGCACAGACATACTGTCTGCCAGACCAGAGATGCTAACTTCTTCAACTGCTCCACACGAATTAGTGAGTCAGAGTCTTTAGACTCCAGACTTACTAGAGCACTGCCCATGCAAGCAAGCCCAAATTTCCCCCTTATTTCTGCTACAGTAATCCTGACTTCAGACACGTCACTACTGATTCTCTAGCTAGTCCTGAAAATTCTCACTCATTATGGTGAAGAGCTTTTTCCTAGCCAAAATGTCACGTGGAAACATCTAGCATCCATTGTGGAATGGCAAAATATCTGTTTTTTCCAACAGATTGGTTTAGCTGTAGGACAAAAATATAACCAATCTCTTTTTAAAAGCATTAGTTTGTCAGGTTGGAAAGTCAAGTGCACAGGACTGTTTATCCTTAAGAGGCAGCCAGGAGCAACAGCAAATAAAAGAGTGGAATCTATGAGAAAATCAGATATATTCCATCCCTGTAAAACACTGTAAAAGATGCTGGCCTCACGAGGGGAGTCATGGTTGAAAGATTTAAGAATGGTTAGAGGTGCTTAAAAAAGAAACTAGCTCAGGCTGGCTCCAAAAGAGAGTTTGTTTGCAGCAAAGCAGAGTCAGAGGGAACACCAAGTGCCAAATCCTGCTCTGTCACCAGGTCACCTGCTGTTATGGAAGTGATCTGCCAGGTACTTGCACACAGGTATTTCCACTGCAGTGCTAAACACATAGTCCATTTAAGTGAAGAAAGTGTATGATGTGGTTCCCAAAGGCATCAAGGCCTAGACTTCATGGCCTTTCATGGGGATTTGCCAGCAGACAAATATCAAGCCCTGAACAGTGTACTTACAGTAGTACCAGCAATACATAAAGTCAAATACAACAGTCAACCAAACATTATGACAAGGAAATCCAGCAGAATGAAGGCACGTGGTCTGAGGTAACACAGAAAGTCTGGGAGAACAGGGTTGAATATACTAAACAGGACAGGAGGGTATCTAACCTGTTTGGAAATGGTGAGTGCACATTAGCTCCTGTCATTTAATATGGATACAGTTAAAAACAATATCAGTTAAGTGGTTTGTGATGGAAGGCTGTGAAGGTGGAGGTTTGATATCCCCCCCATCCATTTCCCCAGAATACACCCTTCTCTTTCTCTTTCCTTTCTTGCTCAGCACTGAAAGCCCATTTCTTTGACCTGAAATCGTGTAAATGGAGCTGCGCTCCACTAAGTCTCCCAAACTTTACCCTGCCCTCCCTCCTTACAGCCTCAAACACTCATTTGTTCCACTGGAGGTGGAGACCATGTAGTTGAAAACAGAGCTCTTTAAATAAATTAGATCTACAAAGGTGTTTAGCTGCATGCCAAGTTCCTGATGAATCATGTTGACAAGTTCTTCATATGCTTGAATGAGTTCCCCCAAATACATAAGATTGTAAATCTGGTTTTGGAGTGCAGTACTGTTTTGATCTGAAGCCTCACCTATTGCTGATATAAGACATTTGTATAACCAGCTTTGCATATTACATGAAGCAGTTTGGTTTTTAAGAGTCTAAGATTTAGGTGCAAGAAAATGATAATCAGAAGAGAACAAGTTAAGGTTTGTTCCCTCACCAAACAAGAAGAAAACAGATGAAAAGTTCCAAAACAGAGAAATACAGTTTTCTGTAACCTACTAGCTGTCCTTTAGTATTAAAGCACTCTGCTTCAGCCTTAAACAACAATTCTTCTGGGTTCCAGATAGAGAACAACTTGAGTTTAACGCCATTTCCTCCCTTTGAATTTTTAGACAGGCTTTCAAAGAGAAAAAACTGAACCAACTGACCCAAACTGATTTACAATGTTAGCCAGTAATTCAGATAAGTGACAAACATCTAGTAAGAACCATTTGATTTCAATATTTATAGTCCTCAGGATTAATGCAGCAGTTAATCACACACCAGGAAGAGGCTGAAAGTTTTAATTGCTATTTCCTCCTAACATGCCTATGTTAAAATCTGTACAAAGTACAAGGGATTAGCAGGCAAGGGGTAACAACACCACATGAGAATGAAACTTTTCCTGTCTCCAGGATAAGGCATGTGACAAAGTATTGAAACTGAAGCAAAATTCACCTGCTCTCAAAAAAGCAAAGATTGGGACAAACTTAGGCAAGTGGTAACCAACAGGGGGTGGAGAAGGACAGGAACAGACCCACACCAGAAACTGCTCAGGTCTGGTGAGTCCAATAGCTTTCAGGCAAAGGATGTTCTGTAAAGAACCATTCTTACACACTTATATATATGCTTGTACCTATCCCACATTGGGTCAGGTGCACCACATGCAACAGCTGATAGCAGTTGAAAGTGTAGTCTACCCCACAGTTACACGATAATTCACTTGCACACAGCATCAGCAAATGCAGCCCAAACCCCAGAAAAAATAAGTCTCCCATGGTAAATGTAATAAATGCCATAACTACAAAAAAGACAAAACATGAGATCTCTCCACAGGTTAGAATAGTCTCCTCTGTGTTACTCTTTGCAGATACTGCATTAGGACTATGGTGTACAAAAGCAACCACAATGTCTGTGTCTGCACACAGCTCTCAACTTTCATCTCAGCAAACCATCAGAAATGGGAGAGATAAATGGAAACCCCAGTATGTCAGTACCCTGCTCTGACACAGACACCAGCATGTCTTTGCAAATGTTTATATTGCAGATCATTTTCTTTATGAAGAGAAGAGCTTCTGGGGCCACTGCTATGAATGTAGCAGTGACCACCTTGACCTGCAGCCCTCTGTGAAAGAAAGCAATTCCATCCAGGTGAAAAAAGGCAGCTGGATAATTTACAAGAGCCTCAGTTACTCAGGACATCAGTACTTTTTGAAAAGGGAGGCAATTCTGACTTCCAGAAGTGGTTCAGTCTCTGCAACTCCATCGGGTCTTGCCATGTAACGCTACAAGTGAGTTCTGCTTGGCAGAGGATCACAGTTTAAGAAACTGGGTACAGTTTATCCTTTAAGAATACAGTTACAGTCTCTTCAAGCAACTCGAGAGTCAGGAAAAGTTCAGTAAGGCAATGCAAAGTTTCATTGGACACGAAGGAAATAATCTGTTTAATCAGTGCTATTTCCAGGGCCTTTTCATAACTTGAAGATGCAAAAAAAGGTTGTGTCACTATTCCTAGGTAGAGAATATCTTCACATCACCTAGGGAAGGGCCAGCAGGGCCAGCTGGCGTAAACTTTTGCTGTGGGCTGATGTATGCAACTTGCTTATGTCCACACTATCTTATGATTCAGTGACACCAGAACATGTTAAATCAGCTCACTGATATTTGTCCCAGGCTATATCCATCTCCTTGAGATCTCCTCCTTCAGTGTCTTAGGTGGCTCTTGGGTGTTGTACGAAATGCATAACTTCAGGGCAGACAGTATTTACTGAAACCTAGGGAATACAGAGGTACCCTTGATTGCAGTGCAGTAAATGCCAAAAACTCTCTTTGCAGAGGCCGGCTGACTTGCACTCAGTTATTGCTCACATACTCAGTAAATAGTGAATGCATTCCAAAATTCTGGTTCAAACAAATCTTTCTTCAGTACTACAGACAAATTCAAGTTTCACAGTCCCAAGGGAAATACTATTTCTTTCACATTTTAAGGGGAGAGGGGGGATACTTTTAAAAAATATTCACAGTTAGCCAGCTGTTCCATGGTACATGATAAGTTAAATAACTGTTAAAGGTCTAACTGTATATTGCTAACCCTGGAGGAGGTGTTGGGAAAGGTCTGATTCTTTCATCTAAGTTTTCTCTAGTTTTACAAACTTTGATTTAGATTCCAGCTTTATACTTACCAGAGATAATAATATGCAGTTGGACCTTTAACAGTTATTTAAATTATCATGTACTGTGGAACAGAATAATAAATCCCATTAATAGTTATATCCAGTAAATTACTGACTGAGGAAGAAAAGGACAGAGGTGTGCAGAGGAATTCACAACAAGGTGAACATTGTATTTGACATCAAATTCTTCATGCAAACAAGCTGCTCCACCAATGCTACCACCAATCTAGCAAAGCTTTCTAGTCTTACTCCAGATGATTCCTCAAAAGTTAATTATTCTAGATCCTTAAATCACACCACCTTTATATATAGCATGTTTTAGTGAACCTGTGACTTCATGAACTAGATATTTAGCTGATGTCAATCACCCTGCTTCTACTAACTTCAGAGCTGCACTGATCTGTTGCAATAGGAGATTGAGCCAAATCCCTCAATTGCCAGGCTACTCTGCAGGCAAAAAGAATTAAATAAGCATACCAGTGTGGATTAGAAACAGGACAACATCTTGTGCTTGAAAACGTCTATCGCAGATTTAATTATCATTCAAGTGATTATGTATATGCCTACTATTCATCACCAAATCCTGTGCCAGCAGGCACCCTGTGCAGTTATGAATAAGAGCCATAATAAAATATAACAAAATACACATAAGGGATCTCACATCTTAACATACCTCTTCCAGGCAAATATACTACTGTTCTTCACCAAGGTTCTGGAGACTTTTGGAAAGAAAAAGCAGTGCAGAGATCACAGAACTACTACGACTTTCTGCAATCTTATCTAGTATATGTTCACTTTAAATCATTTCATCTGGGCTTTAAATGGTAGGCTTTGATTTTGTTTTGCCAAGTAAACATTCTGATAATGGAGTCCTTGAATAGAACCAAGCAACTTTTAAAGCAGTGAGGTAGACTGCTTAAAACTCACATCTCTGCTTGCTAATGTCAGAGACCTCATTTAGCCATTATTTCAAGCTCACATGACCCATCAGTTATAGCCAGTTAGTGATCCTCTCCAGCCTTTCCCTGACAACACTGGAGAGGAAAATAGAACTATTCTTTGACCTTCTCATCCTTTCTTTTGTACGTGGGACACTATCTCTACCCTCTCGCCTGTCCTTTACTGCATGAAGTGGGCTGTCCAGCTGCTGCAGAGGTTTGGTGTACATAAGAACACCATGCTTTAGCCAGAGGGAAATGGAACATGAACAACTCAGCTCTCAGGACAGAGGTGTGAAAAAGCATGTTTCCTCTTGCTCACAAATTCCTAATATTGTGCATTTATAGGAACTGCAGAGTGTAAGCAATATGTGTGTTAGCATCCTCAGGTTAGTGTGCTAACCCAGGTTTGCAAAAGAACACAGCAATTCAGGTGCAGTATCTACTTGTTTGCTTACAACAGGGAACCAAAATATTTCATTTGTCTTCAGCAGGAATAAAAGAAAGAACAGACCAGTTGCCCAGACAGAAATTAACACATGCCTACATACTGCAACAAAATACCAATTAGTGCAATTGAGAACTATGGCTATGCAATGGTGTGCAGATTACATGCTGGCATTCCTGTGGTCAAAGGCAAGAATGAACAAAAATAACTATTCAGAGATCAAGGCTATAGGTAGGATGTCTGGATTCTAGACTCTGCTGCATCCTAGCGTTTGGGGGTGGCTAAACCTCTCAAAATGTCTCCACCTGAGACAGAAATGATGGCAATTCCTAGTTTTCGAGGACCACTGAGGGGCTGTTCTTGCTTTTGTTTGCAAATGCTCAGAGAATCTCAAGCAGACATTAAGAACAATGGTGCTAGAGGAGAGAAACATGGGGAATTCACAGATACTATCCAAGTTTTCACTAACAAGTCTTCTAGCTTCCTGCAGCTTGCTTTATTGTTGGTAGCAGGCACTACAGTTGCTGGCATGCAGGCTATGTTTCTCTACACAAACACTGCTATTTTCAGACTACTCCTGTGCTCAAGTTTTTCTGAGGTGCAAAAGCAGTCAATCTGCATGTAAAAGTAGCTGTCATAACAGCATACTGGTTGAGAACAGTTGGAACAGATGTAAATAACCAGACTTCTCAGACCATGGACACCATTTGTCTAAAAAGATATTTTAGCTCCAGAGTTTAAGATCAACGACAGCCCTTCCTGCATTGCACAGTTCATCTGTGGCATAGGGTCCTGGGACGTGAAAGTCTACAGGCTTCAAGAAGAAGCTGGATGGGTTCTAGGAAGACAAATCCACTGAGAGTTATTAACCAGAGAGAAGAAACCTCCTGATCAGAAAACCTCTTGAGCTAAAAAGGCCTGGGGACTTGAAGTTTGAAGGAAATATCACATATATTTGCTTCATATCTACCCTTCCCTCAGTGCCAACTCATGGTTGCAGTTGCTGCCAAGTTTCTTGACTGCCTGGACTGCCCATCTGGCCCGTGATGGCTGCTCTGCGTTCGTAGCTACAATAAGGAATTCACGTATCGCTGCCCCTACTCTGGTCTCTCAAGTTCCAGTGTCCACAGTATTAAACTATGAAGGACCATGTGGGATTCAAAAGACAAGCTGGCTCCACATGCATGATCAAGACAGAACAAAGCAAGCACAATCACAATCACAGAAGAACAAAAAAAAGTGTAACACTTCTGAGCCCATCAAAGATCTTTGAGAAATGTAAGCACAGGCCTGCACATAGAAGTTGCTCCTGTAAGTGAATTCAATTTGCTTAGCATTAACCATCAGGAAGAAGTTAATTTTGATCCGAAGAAAGCATACAGGTATTCAGAAGAAACTGCTAGACTCACATTCACAGTCTTCCTTCAGTCTGCTTTCAGTGTTACAGGCTACAATTTCCTGGCTGAGGAAATTTCCTGAGGAAGCACCTCCAGGAGAGAGACTGACAGGAGTGATACCATTTACAACACCCATCAGAAGCACAACTAGAGCTGTGTAAAAACAGGATAGCTAAAGATTTGTCCCTGAGGATTTGTAGCTTCATGAAATCACCATACAAGACTCACAGTGCATTAATTGTATTAACTTTTATTTTAATAGTATGTGTACTATTTCATATTTATATATAAAAGCACTTCACCAGTCTTATAAAGCCACTGTGGCTATAAAAGGACATTTAGTATTGAGACGAAAACCAAACCACATCTCTCATGCCCCAGTCACTGCTCTTACTTCATTACAGGCAAAGTTGGTGACTAGACTACTGCAGAGGCAACCTGACACATCCCATTGTAGAGACACCACCATGTGTTTGAGCCAAAAACAAAGGCATATTTGTCTCATAATAGATTTTTTTTTCTGAATACTTCAGCGCAGAATAGATCTGAGCTTTTCCTTTCTAGACTCATTCTCTGGAGGGATTTTACTCAGAGGGGAGAGGTTGCCAAGATGTGAAGTATTTCAATACTCAAACAAAAGACTAAAGATTTGAGATTTGGCCCAGGAATAGCTTTGATGCTGGAATATGTTCCTCCAATGTTCATGAAAAATTAAGTTCTTGAGTATTGTAAGCTTTATGTACAACTCAGTTTCCCTGTCCAGTAGGAGCTACATAGACCACCACAGCAAGTTTCCAGATACATTCCATCTGCATAGGATAATGCAGCTATTTTTTCACTGACATGCAGTTCAGGGCTTCACTTAGCTAAGACTAGTTCTGTGTCCAAGTGCTGAAAGCTCGTGCACTCTTGTGTCCTCACAAGCTGTAGAGTGAAAGAAGTCACACATAAGGAGGATGGGAACAAGATGGACTGAAGGGAATTTGACTTGGGAGACTGATGGGAAGTATCTGAGAAGGAGCAAAGAAACTGAGAATTAATATAGGTGTAGAAAAAAGCCTAAAATTAGGACACATTTCTGCATGCTTTCTAGATTAAGAAGTGTCCAGAAAATTCGATGCCACAAATGAAGATACTGAAGTGTTGTTGGGTTTGATTGTGGTTTGTTGGTTTTGGTTTTGGTTTTTTTTAACTAAGGTGTTGGATATCACACAGTAGCAGCAATACTCTTGTGCCTATCCAACTGCACTTGAGCACCTGCAAAAACTGCATTGGCATTGATGCAAAAGCAGAAAGTATTTTTCTGTAGCAAATCTTTGCTGTGCTAGGTATAAGTCAGAGACAGTTTTGAAACAGTTTATCATCTTAGTAAATGAAAAGAAAAAAAAAACCTGCCCACTTACCACTGTGCAAGAAAAACATGATCAGAAACAGCTCCCCTGTCTCAGCCAGAACCTTATCCGGTTACTGCATCAACATCTAGGAAGACTGAGGGCACACAACTGCTGTGGCAATCCAGATACATCACTGAGTTTATTTCTTACCTGCATGTAGAGTTTAAGTGTGGTGAACTTGGCTGGACTCCTCTTCTGCTTCCTGCCCTAGCAAGTGCAGTTCTGCTCTCACTGGAGCAGAAAGGACTCACAGCACCACTACTTTAAATTAGGACCCAGGTGGATTTATTCCTGCTTAACTGACTTTTCCACACATACTAGTGGCTATTCACTCTTATGTTGAATCTGTATCACATCTAGCAAGCTGCAGTCACCTAGAAGTGCCACTTGATCTCCTGTTATCCACGTTTGGATTTGCCTGTGCATGCCCAGAAGCACAGCAGCTACATATCTCTGAGGAATGACTTCAGAGGCAGGATGTTGAAGTTCACAGATAACTGCTCATCTCTCCTATAGGACTTTCACTCCAGGGACATCCAGTTTCATAACATACTTAAAGGAAGCTGTGTTTTATATGAACAGCCACACTTCCAAGACAGCAGTACATCCTGAGGCCTGGCGAATACAGGTGATTCACCAGATGGGGTGCCATGACTGCCGAAGTTGAATCCCTCGAACCAGCAGTGGATATTTTCTAACCAGCACTTTACTAAGCATATGTTTAAAAATAGCATCTTTGTAAAAAAATATTCTTTCAGACCTTAGAGGAAAAAATTAAATACATTCTTCATTTATGATAATGAAAATCCAGAACTCCAGTTGTAACTGAGTCCATGGACTAACTCCATGCTTGAATTGATTTCAGGATGTACCTTTCATCTTGAAATGGCCCATAAAAGCAATGGCCTTCACAGTAGTGTTTCTGCTGTGAGTAGACTGGCAAGTTCACAGCAACAGTATCATCATGGAAATACTGCATACCAAGTCTCCAGCTGTGACACTAGATGACTTAAGACAGAGCAAAGCATTTACGGTATTTACCAAGTTTATTAATAAGAATTATTTCTGACAAAGACTATTTCTAATGCTACAGATATCAAAATAAATCTTTCAGCTTCTTATTCACTTCATGATAAAAAAACACAAACCAAAACAAAAAAACAGTCCTGGTGCCCAATAGTTCCTGGTGCCGTTTGGCATTAAGTCCAGATTTCTGCACAAGACTGAATTACTCCCATTTCCAGCTCAAGGCCTACACTATGCTCTTTTGTTTAGCCAGGACCTCACACCATTTGTAGACATGAACTCATGTTGACCTTCCACAGCACAGAGAAGTAGCAGCTTTCTCTGGGCGTCTGGGGTTAGGCACCAAAAGAGAGACTCATTATGTTAAAGGTTCTATAACCAGTTCAGTGTGCAAGTGGGCCCCCACAAGTTCCTCACATACTCCCTAGCACACTGTTTACATAACACTGCAGAATCTTTAAAATTCCGTTTCAAGTTTTACAAGACTAGCCATCATTCAGATTGATCTCTGTACCCTTTCTGTGCTCAGGAGTTAGGCTAGCCAAGTCCCTGGAGTATTCACAAGGGCACACCTTTGGTTTCACATCCCACTCAGAAGCAGGCAGTGTGCTGCAGCCAACACCTAACTCCTGGGAAGCTGTGGTGCTAGTATTTTACAAGAATTCCACCTCTAGCAGCAGTTGGAGCTTTCCTAAGACCATTTCCCCTTAGTTACTTCCCTTCATTTGCATTCTTCCCCAAACCAAGAGAAGTTAGGCCCCAGGTTGCTACAGCAGGCATTCTTGGGACAACCTTACCTTGTCAGCTGAGAAGAAATTAAGTTCAGACAGATCACCAGAGAATGCTAACCCCTACACATCCTTGGTTGCTGCTATGATGTTTTGTAGGTTTGGTTTTTTTTTCCTGACACAGGGATTGCTTTCAGGAATCATGCTGCAGATCCAGATTGCTGAGCACTGCAACATAATGAAATAATTCATTAAACAACTTCTTAACTAACGCAGAACGATTTGAAGTACAAGTATGGTAATTTCACTGATCACTGGCAGTAAGACTGTAAAGGATGGATTACTTTTTTTTCAGAAGGAAGTTCTCCTTCAGAAGGAAGGAGAACACTTTTATGATGCAATCTTAAGCAGTAAAAACTGGTGTCTTCAGGCATCTTCAAATGAAAGACAGCTATAGCATAAGTCTACACATTCTAGCTCTTGCATAGCTAACCTAAATGACAGCAGAGGAGGGGGCAGTTCCAAGACTGAACTCCTACCCATGAATTTTTGCTGGCTATTAGAGCTTTTAAGAACCTAGGCAGATCAAAGCATATAAACACATTCTAGATATTTAGCACGAAAGAGTCTTTAAGAGGTACCCTACACAAGAACATTCCCAGCACAGCTGCAAACTTAAGGCTTGTGATAAGGGAGCTCATGCTACAAAAAAGGGAGCAGAAGAGATCAAGTCACTGCCTGGGCCTTTTACAACAGGAGTCATTATATTGAAGGCCCCCTGTGGAAACAAGCTGAAAACAAGCTGAAAGGACAGAGAAGGACAAAAGCACTCACCACAGTCCCAGGCTACCCTGGGGTTAATTCCTTCATGAATTTAAGTCTGGAGAATGGTTTAACCCTACATACATGAAAGCAGGGCAGCCAGGGGCCAGAGGGACTTAATGCTATTAGCCAAACCATCACCTCCCAGCTTTAGCTGTGGCCGGTCTCCAACACTTTTGAAAGAAACAACTACAATCCCTAGATATCAGTTTATATGTCAAGGGGCAAACAAATTCCTTTCCATTTTCAAATTTTACAAACAATTAACAAGCCCTGAACTACCTGAGGTACAATATGAATATAGTGACAGAAGGAAAATTAAACACTGAGTTTGCTGATTTAGCTAACAGAATTGCACACTCATCTGGCAATCGTAGCCAGAGAAACTCAAGGCAGCTGATTCTGTGCTACCCTCAGCAAAACACCATCACAGAGACCCTGGTATCTTGCAAGGGCCAGCTTGCCCCTTTCCAATAGCCACACCAAATCCAGTCTCAAGTTAATTTGGCTTGAATGTCTAGAAACTAGCACCCACAAAACTCTAATTCCTTACATACAGCACAAGGTATTTTGATAATGGAAGCTTTACACACAGCCACAAGACCATTTGTTTACTTAGACTGTAAAGATTAATCCTTGCCTCGTGCAGGGGTCTGTTTGTAAAGAAAGATGGAAGAATTGAGGGGTAGGTTCATTTCTAAGCTAATTTCCAAGTCCATTTCTATTTTGGGTCTTCATTGTTGGTAGACAAAGCATTAGCTCTAAGACATCAAGAAAAACCTCAGCTGAAAGCTTTGCCTTATCTCAGGATCATTTATGTTGGTCTGGGGCAGGGTCTCAGTAGAAGCCTTAGGGCCAAACAAAAGGTTTGAGAATATTTAAAAGTAAAATACAGATTTTTTTTTGTCTTTTTTGTTTGCTTCTACAGAAAATAGGTATAGTTTAATAAAAGCAGTACTAAAAGGTATGTGGGTTTTCCTGCCACTTCAGAGGTTCCCGGACTCAAAGTTGCAATCCAATGCAGTCCATTCCTTTGTTAAACCTTTCCTTAACCCAAAATTCATGCTTTCTCCTTATCACACCCTTCTTTACACCCATTCTGTTACCAGAACTTGCTGACTGGCAAGTTCAGTCCCTAGTAAGGTGACTGAGTTACTAATACACAGCTACTGACGAGAGAAATTAAAAACCCACTAATAATAAACAAAGGATGAGAAATAACCACTGTTGTAAACAGACCACAAGACAGCAGCTAAGGAACAAGGAAATACAAATGAACACTGTCTACCTGACAGTTTAAGGTCCATGAAACAATTAATACATAATTATGGAAGAGAAGTTGATGAAAAGTCTAGCAATTAACTTTCCCAGCCGAACTTATCCATATACGGTCACATTTTAAAGTACCCATACCTAGCTGGCAATGCTTCTCTTTACATCTTCCTCCATTCTTTGATTTCCATATCCTTAGCCAAGTCTCCATGAAGGTAAGTATACAGATATAAAAACTCACCTACAATTACACTACACCTGCAGAGACAAAGCTGTAACCCATCTTTTTCCACTGACATCTCTCATTATTGCTCATATTTCTGTGTGAGAAAAGAACTCATAGTGAATACTGAATGTCTGTACAGACAGGGAGAGTCTAAACTTGACCTACACCCAGTGATGCAGACATCCAAAGCCACCTTAACAACCTTACAGTGAACTATCTGGCTTGGGAAAACCTCTAGAAGGTCAGACCAGGAGACCACCCACTCTGTATGACACCTGTGGAACAGACTGTCCTGCTGCAAAACACAAATGCTTTACTTTCCATCTAGAGCACCTATATAAGGCAATAACACAGGCAGCACTGATTGCCTAGGCTCACTAAAATAACTGCTTCACTACAACTCCAGCAGAGGGAAAAATGGCTGCTTTATAGCCCGGGAGCACACTAATTATGGGGGCGGCAGCATTTCACAAGGGAGGAGTCTCCCATTTCTATCAATGGACGTTTTTGTGTTGCTTCATTGAAGCCTGCTGCAGGACTTATGTGGGTAGGAGCAGCTGCTGTCACTTGCAAGAATCAGCAATGTAAAAAAGCAGAGCAATATCTGAAGGGAGGATCGGTGTTTGTACGTGGGTTTGCTTGGGCCTGACTTCTTCAAAGGGAGCAAGTTGTAAGAGAAATTTGAAATAGGCTGTTATTTAGTCTAGAAAAGGCTGTAAAAAGATTTGATAAAAGACATGCTACAAAAAGCTTCTTTTTGCCACATTACTGTGGAAGGGGCAAATAATAACGGTTTGCATTTGCTTCCAAGGTGATGCAGGTTGGCTCTTAGGGAGGAACTCCCAGTAGTAACTCAAGTCCTGAGATAAGATGGTCAGGGAGGAGGCAGGCGCTCTCTTTTTCCTGGATGCTGTTCACCAGAGGAGTCTAGGGTGGTTTAAGCCTAGCAGATCCTGCCCTGGGGACAGAGCTAGACTCTGAACTCTTATTTTTTTCTTGATGGAAAAAATTATGTTACAGCCTTAAGGCAGGAGAATATTGTGGCTAGCAGCAAGTACCAGAGCACATGTATCACACGACTAAAAATAATTTTACCATCTCATTTTTGTCAGTGTCCCTCCAACTGTGCTAGGAACTATGTTTAGATATTGCAGTAAAAGATACTTCTCCCACTCCCACACTGCTGATCCATGTGATATAACATTGAGCACAGATTAGCTCTTAAATTTTTCCAGGGAAACTTCATTGATTTTTTAAAAACAAGACAAATATGCAAAGGCCTATTGTAGGACCATATCTCAGACTGTCTTTGGGTTATTGGTGATACTTATCCATCCCTAGAAAATTTTTGCAGCAGACAATATAATCATGTTGCACAGACAAGTTCTTTGCAAAGGATTTCCAAACCTTGCATGAAATAATTGCAATGCTGTAAAAGTCCCCTGCAAAGTAATCAACTGTGCAATGAATGGCAATGAATGCTTTATGACATGGAACTGTACGAGACTCACCCAGGTGAGGAGACGACCCAGTGACAGAAAGACCAGGGCTGTGGCCAGAGGTTGCAGGACTGTGATTCTCCCAGCAAACTAGGGAGATGGTCCAGGTCTCATTAAATCTCCTCCTCCCTGCTTTGGAATCTGACACAACAGTAATTTCCAGCCTCGCTTTCTAAGGGCACAGATGGACACGGAGGGAAAGTCCACTCCTCTGCATGTCACAGTAAAATGATCTTGTTATTGAATGAGCAGGAGGAGAGTCCTTCTCTGGAGTGCAGTACCTTGGCAGGATTAGTGTGTGCCAGTGTGCTTGGGCAGGGCCACACTTGATGAATAAGCTGGAAATCTAACTTATTTTAAAAATCTTTCCTTAGTCCTGTGCAAGCTCTGCATACGAGGTAGGGGGCTGCTTTACAGCGGTAGCAGATTGGATGCATGGATATATCCACGCCCTGGAGGCTATGCTGGCGGGCTGCTTTGGAGCACGTGTAAAACACCTGTATGGGCTGGTAACCTTCATTAGAATCACAGAATGGGTCAGGTTGGAAGGGATCGCAGTGGGAGATCTGGTCCCACTTCCCTGCACAAGCAGGGTTGTCCATGGCACAGGATTGCATTCACGCGGTTCTTGATTATCTCCAGCGAGGGAGACCCCACAGCGCCTCTGGGCAATCTGTTCCAGTGCTCGGTCACCCGCACAGTAAAGAAGTTCTTCCTCGGGTGGAACTTCCTGTGCATCAGTTTGTGCCTATTGCCTCCTGCGCTTGGCACCACCGAGCAGAGCCTGGCTCCGTCCTCTTGGCCCCGCCCCTTAAGATATTTATACACATTAATGAAGTCCCCCCTTGTGAAGCAAAGCAGTACGGCGCCTTTCCTGAGGTGCTCTGTCCCGCAAGGACTGCGAATGCCGATTCTTTTACGGGCACACTCGCGGTGTGGCAGAGGGGCGCCCCGCCCGGCAGGGACCGCCCGCTCCCCGGGCGAGGCGCCGCGGGCCGCGGCCGAATCCGGCTCTGGGCCGTGGGGCTCCGCTCCCCGCCCCGGCCGGGCGCTGCCCCGCCCGCAGCCAACATGGCGCTCGCGGCCTCCCCGCCCCTCGGTGGCGGCCCGGGGCGTGTTCGGGAGCGCGGGCGGGGCGGGGCGGGCGATGTGGCGAGGCTCGGCCCCTCCTGCCCGGCCGCCACCCGCCGCGGCCCGGGGAGGCTGCGGGAGAGGCCGCGGTACCGCGGGGGTAGCTGCGGGAGGCCGGGGGCGCGGTAGGTGGCGGCGCGGGGCTGTCGGTCCCGGCCGGGAGCGGGCGACAAGGCAGCGCGGGGGCCGGGAAGGGCCGCGGCCGGCGGCTGTGCCGGGGCAGCCGCTGCTCTGCGGGGCCCGCCGGGGTGCGGGGCGGCCGCGGAGCCCGGGGGCGGCGGCAGAAGGGCGGCGGCGGCGCTGTCACTGCCGGGCCGGGGCCGGGAGCGGCCGTACCCGCTGCCTCTGCCCGCGGCCCCGCTCGGCAGCCCTGCGGTTCCTCCCCGCTGCCTCTCCGCAAAGACGAGAAAGCGCCAGGAACAGTGAAAGCCGGAGCTCTCTGTCCTGGGGTGATAGTGCCGGAGAGGAAAGCGCTGTGACCTGCCGCCGCCCCATTCCCGCCGCTGTCTGCGGGCTTTGAGTGCGGATTTGTTTTTTCCTCCCTTCACCAAAGGCCTGAAGGGTATGTTTTCACTTTCAGAGATTAAAACCGAAGTGGCGCTGGCGAAGAACGGACATGCTTGACATTTATCTGCAGTTGCCTGTGTTGTGCTTCGTTATCTACTCGAAAAGGAGAGACTGAGACCCTGTTGTTTTCACCCTTGACTTCTTCTCAGGTTATGATATAACTAATAATAAAGCAAAACTGCGGAAAGAGCACCTGGGAACTGAGCATGGTAGGATCTTGAACTAAAGTAGCTGGTATCGACGGAAAGAGGAAAGGAAGGAATGGCATCCCGAGAGAGGCTGTATGAGCTTTGGATGCTTTACTGCAGTAAGGTAAATATTGGGGGGAGTGGGAGGGTTGTTTGTATGTTTTCATCCTCTTTTGTTTGGAAGTCGAGTACTTAAAAATGTATCTGTAACATCTTCTTAGCACATTTTTTTTCTTAGAAGTTGCATAGACTTGGCTAGCTGCTGTAAGGATTTAACTGCACTTCACAGGCTATTTACAACCTCATCTTGTGATTTGCTGTTCAGGTTGGCCTTTTTTTGGTCTGAGGTATAAATTGCACAGTGTTCATGGCTCAGTTTAAGCAGTTACTGTAGCAATATATTTTAACTATGTGAATGCATACATTCACATAATTCTTTGTAGCTCATCAAGACGTACTGTATTCATTTCACTGTTTTCTAGTATTTAGCTTTATGCTTTCTGTATTCTGATCAGTTCCAGTTTCATTTAAACTTTATTAGCAAAAGCCTTCCCTAAGAGCAGATTTATTAAGTTGCTCCAGAGTCTGCCTTTGCCAGTTATTGCCATAACATCTAAGTATTCCATTAGTAATGGATTTCCTTCACCTGGCAGGAATGTTATTAAAATGCAGTCCTGTCTCCATTTGCATTTTATAGTGTAAAGCAATTCACGTATTTAAAGCACATGTCCTAATTGCCGCTGGGTATGCTGAGTGTATACACAAATTGGATTGCAGATTATCTGCATAGATAACTGTAAAATAAGAAACATACAAAAAGTAGCTGTAAAGATAGAGGAAAGGGCTGGTCTACTGTCATATAGGAGCTCAGTGGCAAGAGTAGCTTTTGGTGGCCTTATTTCCTGGTTTTGTTTTGTCTTTTTGCAGTCTCATTTGTATCTCAGTTTCTTTAAATCTCCAAGTCAGTAGGAGATTAAGGGTATAACAATCCTTCTCTTGTTCTTCCCAGTTCATTTCTAGAGAATGCCCATCTCAAGAGCGTAAAATGTGAGATGTTAAGTACAGACCATGTTTACACAAGTGCACAAAGCAGTCTTAATTGTAGCTTTTCCTAATTTTTGTATGAGTTTGCAACCTTAATGCTCCATATGTAGTTAAAAATAAAACTAGTGCAAACAGAACAGCATGGTATCAGTTCTTATTGCTCCTTGTGTGGGTGATCCATTGGACTGAAACATATTTGTGTAGACCTTCACGTTTTAAACCAATGTAATAATGATACTGGCATTAAGAATTGGAGTAGCACTGGAGGAGATGGATGTTTTGCCAGTGAGTTCATCTATGTGAGAGGAATACAGACACTTGGAACAGACTCCCAAGAATCCAGGCTTTACTCAGCTTTGGGAGATACTAAGGCTGCTGAGATGAGCCAAGCTCTGAATTTCTTTGCTCAGCTGTTCTTTGGCTCTTTCCTCCCTTATTCTTTATACAGTTCTTTTGTCTGTCTTGAACCTTCTCCCCCTTGGCTGGGACCTTTCATTCATTGTATGCTTTCCATCTCCATGTTGTTTGCATGCTAGCAGCAAGTTTGCTGGTTAAAATGTGTGGTTTAGATTACTTAGAGGATGTTCAGTTTCTTTATGGGAATGATTCATCCAGTCTAGTCCGATCTCAGGTGATGGAAGATGGTCTATTAAAAAAAAAAATCATCTTTTCATATATGCAGTCTCCTTATTAGCCATCAGTGACTTTTTTTGGCCTTTTTTTCTTCCAAACCCACACAATGTGGGCATAATTAGGTGGATTCGTATGTTGATAAGGACTTATTCCTAAATAGCAAAACATATTTTAAAAATAAAATAGCTTGTCTTCAAAATATGAAGGCAACTGGAGTGTTTCTGAAAAAGGAGTCTTCATTTTTTCAAAAAGCACTAGGCACAAAACTGGTTTTTCCCTTCTCTCTCTCTCTCTCTCTCTCTCTCTCTCTCTCTCTCTCTCTCTCTCTCTCTCTCTCCTGTTTCAGGTTAAAATGATACCTTATTCTGCTTGAGGCAGGCATGCAGCATAAGAGTATTGCATTAAGCTTGGTGAAGTTAAGAGCAGCTGAAGAAGCTAGGTCTTGGGATGCAAAATGATGTGAAGCCTTAATGCAAAGAGTTTGTTTAGTCATGTTTTGGTAACATCTGTATGTTATGCTTTGTTCTCCTCAGGGCATCTTGCACCATGGGAAGATGCAGCAATAAATAACTACCAGTGACAGGATGTAGTGGTTTAGGGAAAAGTCTCTTTGTACTTGGGACGGCCCAGTGAAGTGTAATACCATGTCTTATATGTTGCACTGTCATGATTTTGTTGTCAGTGGCATCCTGGGAAAGAAAGCTAGGCCATTTCTTCAAACTAGAGAAACTGCTGGAGAGTTACAATAGAGTAAAGTGGGAATTTATTGTGCCACAAATCTCACCTATGTGACTTTAGCTTTTGCAGCCTTGTTAACTAAAGAAACAGTGAAATCCAAGCTCCTGCTTTGTGATGCTTCAAACTGTTGCTAATAAATAGTCCTATTTGTCTTCTGATAATTGGGTGCCTCATGATAGTCTGTTAAATATAGCACCCTGTCGTAGGGCACAAGGCTTTTAACAGCTTTAAAGTGCTGGATAATGCTGTGTTACCATCTTGCCATCTATCCTGGGTCATGACTCTTGTTCTTTGTGATCACTTGACATCTCTGGCAGCATTAGATGCCAGTTGCAACACTTACTTTTGTGCAAAGTAACATCAGGAAGGCATTTCTCTATTTTCATTGCCTCCTGTGCAGTTGAGCAATTGGATATTTGAGCAGACAGCAGCATGTAACAAAGGTCTCTGCAGAAGCATCTTTGGAAGACACCATGTACGAGGTGGTTTAATTTTTCTGTTTTTTCTTTCTTTTCGAGATAATGTTTGAGTGGCTGCAAGAGATTGTTTTTAGTTGGTATTCAATTGTTTTTCATCTGGCAGTTTCTAATCTAAGGCTGGGATTTGGTTTTGGATTTTTTCCTGCTTTTGTTCCCCTAAAAGCTACAGACTACAGTCTACTGTGTAAGATGGAAGTAGTACCCACACTTGATTTATGATGCTTCTGATATTTCATGGAAGCAGTTTAAAACTTCATTAAATTTAGTTAAGTTTAGAATTAAGTCACTGGGGTTATATCATCACATTGTATTGTTCACAGTCCGAGCTCTTCTTGCCTTGAGTCTTTTGTTGGTTTGGGGTTTTTTTTGGTTGTTTTTTTTTTTGTTTGTTTGTTTCAATTTGGTTTATTTTAATGTTGATGTTAAACTTTATGCAAAGAGAAAACTTTCCAACTTCCTGGTGTGGTTTTTTTTTTTGGTAATTTTCAGTTTCAAATGGTTTTAGTGGTTGCTGGGGGTTTTTTTCTGTTCAGTGATCTCTTAATATACAACGCTGTTATTCACTTAAATATTGAAATGGATGTAAACTACTGTCTTCTCAGCCAAGTGTTGAAATGTATGTATTTTAACAAAATTGAATAGAATAAATAGCACAGGTCATTTCTATAGAAGTCACTTAAGAAAAATTTTCTCCAGTCGATTGTCAGTTCAAAGCCTTCAATAACCTACAGAAGAGCATGGAACACTTCTTATTTAGGTACATGTAGAGCAGATATCTGAAAATGCTTTACCTAGTGTAAGTGTACAGCAGGAGAAGAGCTCTATTAGGTTAATTGAAACAGTCTCAGGAAAGGACTTGCTTTCACACGTCTCTGACTTTTTCACGTTGATGTGACTGAGGTAATCCACCAGTTTTGCCTTAGACTATTATGGCTGTAATAATATTACTATTGTAATATTGCTATTGTAATATTGGTTGATTAAGCTTTTAATAGATATTAATTATATATCAGCATAGAAAATATATTTCTGTTTTACAATCCTCTGAAGTAACTATTACTGCAGATTCAAATTAAAGAGATCCAACCTCTGTCTTATCTGTAAGATTTTAACTATGTGTTAAAAAAAAAACAAAACAAAATACCTGGTAGGTATTTCAGACTCTTAAACATAAAGCATATCAGGATTTCTAGTGTTTTTCATTTTATTCAGAAAGTAGCCAGATACCCTTTCATATTGAGATTTTT